CGGCCGTTGGAAGTGCAGGAGGGGTTCCGGGGGACAAGGGGGGTGAGGCGCATGCGCAGCGGAGCCGAGCGGTGGGGGTTGTTGCTACGGGTGGCGTAGTGGAGGTAATTTTAAAGGCAAGCGAGGCTGAGCCCCGGCGATCGACTCCGCGGCCCCTCGGGTAGCCTTGCAGCGGGTGGCACCGACATGGCTCTAGTAGTCAGCGCTCCGAGGCTGCTGGAAGAGTCCGAGCGCCACGTGCCCCGCTGTGTCCGAGCCGCGTGACGTCATTGTGGGGAACAGGGTGACGTCACTATGAAGCAGGATGGCCCCGCGGGGTGATGCCATGTGGGGGTGCCCTCCTCAAGGAGTGTGATGCCTCCTCGTGTCTTCACAGGGCCACCATGGTGCCATCCTTCCAGGCCATGATGTAAAGCCACCTAAATTCCATCTTTATATGGGTTTACTTTTTTTTTAAGCATCTTAAAAAATAAATACATTTAAATTAAAAAAAAAGAATCCGATTTAAAAAATATATATATATATTTTTATCCACTCTGCTGATGGTTTCATTTTCCTCAGAGTCCTCTGGCAGTTCAGTGAGTGACATGGACGGGTATAGCATTCCCAAAACCAGTTTCGGACAACATCGGGTGAAGCGGACCTAGTGGTTAGTTTGGGGCAAAGAGCCAGGATGGGAGGGTTCTCTTCCTTGCTCTCCTACCAATCCGCTGTTTAGCTCTGGCCCACATACTTATGCCCCCACTGAGCAAGGTGCTGCTTTGTTCTGCTTAAACGGCAGTTTGGTGTGCCTAACTCATGTCATCACGGTTAGGTAGAATTACAACCAGCTAGGCATGCCTCAGCGTGGGTTAAAACTCGTTGAAAGGTTGGAGAGGTGAAATAGGGTGTCACTAGAGGTGCCTAAATATTGTTCTGTCTTTGCATGGCAAAACAGGAAGGCCTGCAGGGGTGTCCTAGCTCCCTGATTAAAGAGGAGAATTTTGCATGAGGAGAACGCAGGCAGAATAGATTCCCTATGCCTCATTGTAAGTTTGCTTTTCCCCGGCCCAAAGTCAGTGTCTTAGCAGCAAGGTTGCATTTGTTGCACTATGTCTAAGTTCCCATATCTGTAATGGAGGTACTAATAATACCTCATAAGTTTGTTTTGAGATTATTCAATATAAGAAACTTTTCCCTAACTCCAATCCATAGGAGACACAGTACACAATATATTATTGATTTATTTGAGGATGGAATAAATGGCCTTTTAGGGATCTGGGCAAGCAGGCTTCTTTTCATGTACTTGGGGGGGAAATGACACCTTAATTAGAGCAGCTCTCATATATTCAGCCTCCCACTTATTCAATTAGCTTTAGTTAAAGTGTCCCTGCTGCCATTTTGAAGCGTGAGGATGCTGAATACATAAGATGCCTAGGAGCAGCACATATTAGAGCAGTCATCCTGCATGTCTGACGTGGCTTGCAGGTGTAGCACTTGTGCTCATAGAAATTTGTGGGCCCAATGTGAGTTCTTAAGTCAATCCTCCTTCCCAACCTGGCATCCATATTCCTCTGTATTGTTATATAGATAGTTATTTTGCTGTATTTTAAAGCAAGAGTAATACAGCTGTATCACGGTGTCAGTATAAATGAAGAATAAGTTTTATGGAAACAGCCATTCATGACCCATTAAAGAAATGGCCAGTTTGGGTACCTTGGAATGCCTGGACCCAGGACACATTTTCTGGTTGTCTCAGGAGTTTTACTAGGTTGAAACTTTGGCCATGAAGTGGTTCCACTGCTGTTTTATGGCCTAGATTAGAGGAAGATTATATTTTCCCTCAGTACAAAGTCAGTGTACCAGGTAGGGAGGATTTGGCCCTTAGGATTGCCAACAACATTTTTTTCCAACATATTTTCATTTTTTTTTAGCCAGAACTACTTTGTGTCCACACACGAAAATAGTTTTAGAATTAGTTATACTACTCTAGGGTTTGTGTGGAGACATTCTTGTTTGTGTAGATATAGTCATCTCACTGCTGTCCCATACCACATTGCTTCACCATTCGGTTGCCTGCCCTCCACACCTATGGCACTTTGACTGGGTAGCACTTCCCTGTTTAAATCCCAAGAAGCAGCCAGATGTGTTGAATTACAATGATTTTCATGGATTGTAAGGGTCTGGAAGGGACCTAGAAAGATCATCGGGTCTAGCCCCCTCTGCACTACCCAGGAAAGACAGGGGTGAGGTGAGGTCTGATTCCCATTCAGAGACCTTAGATTTTCCTCAGGAGAAGCACATGTCCCATCCCACTATAATAAAGGTCACTGGAATGTGAAGGTTCATGAACAGCTGGAGCAGTAAATGATGGAGCAGGGGTAGTAGCCCTAGTATGCAGCCCAGTGCTATGACTAAGTGAGGTTGGTCCAACAGATTTGCAGGAATACTATAGAGAAAAAAACTTGCAGTAGTGCTTATGTGCTTACTCTAGTATTAGGTAGTATTTTTGTCAGGGAGGATGCCACAGAACCCCAGCGTGTGCTGGAGAGTTTAAGTCAATGTGATACTGTGGTAGTCAGAGGCTACCATGGAAACTAAGTTGCAGCCAGGCCGCCCAGTACCTGATTGTTCTTTCGTACTCTCCTGCCATGCCTTTGGTGTTAAAGAAAAATCCAAAACAGAAAGTAAATACTGGGAGGTGTGCCTCTTGGATCTTACTGCAACCTGGCTGGGGCTTTCAGCCTCTTCACAGGGATCCTCCATCCCGCATACCCTGCCCTTACCATGCCAGATGTTCAAAGGTGCAAAACTTCATTATGGTCTCTGCTTAGTGCATTCACACAGTCATATGAGCTTCTAACGACTGCCTGCTGATCGTGCCACAGCCTGTCCTCACCAATTGAGAGATTCCTAGGGCCTCAGGGGTCCCCAGGTATCTGGTCAGTTCTTATTTTTATTCCTCCTTTTGACCTCGGGGGTCAGTTCCTTTTCAGATTGCTCACATGGCTATCACCTGTGGCTGGTATCCATCTGAGCATCTGAGTCACAGGGCTACTTCACCTAACTCTTCAAAATACAATCAGTGAACCACAGCCAGCCTGACACAGTCCCTTGGCTGTGTTCCTCTATCACTTGGGGAAAACCTGCCTCTCCTGAGCAGTTCCCTTTAACAGGTCCTCTTCTCCACTCTCTTCTGCAGGTAACAACCAAGAAGTGCTGCACTCACCGGCCTGGCTCCTTGTCCAACCCTCTTGCAAAGCTCCTGTGCTGGCTGTCACCTTAAGGTAAGTGCCACTGTCTTCCTTCCTTTTTCAGTCCCGGTTAACTCCCCAACTTCGAGTCAGGTCAATTGCCACCCCTGCTCCTGCTGGTGTCTCTGGGGCAAACTAACCCACCTGACCCCCGGACTTTTAACTTCTGGGTCATTGGCCAGAACCTATCAGAGCAGCTTCCTATCAGTGCAGGCTGCCATCACAGACCCGCCGAGTATTAATACAGCTGGACCTGCTTGCGCTGCTCTGTTTTATTGTCTTCCCACATCCATACAGATTAAGGTGCCCTCTTCCCCGTAGCAGTCCATCTGAGCTCCATCCAGTTGTGATGCAGCATGACAGACACCCTGTCACAGGTACCCTTTCCACTGCAGGTTCTGGAAAGGAGATTTTCTCAGACATCTTAAAACTGTCTAGCCTGCACAGTCTCAGGACAGAAATCCAGGATGACATTGAGCCAGAAATAGCTTCAAGATCTAGTTTGACAGTGCTGCAGAGGGAGCTTCCATCAGTAATAATCAGGTATCCTGGTTTTCTCTGTTTAAAAGTCAGAAATTCTCTGATAAAAATTGCAAAATTTCTGATTAGAAAACCCGAAATCTGCATTTTTCCGCAATTAAAATGAAACACCACTATATACATAGGTACCGGGTGAAAATCCCATTGCAAATAAAGGGTGGCAAGGGGCCAAAAAACCTTCTTGACTCAACAGGGAAATCCAGGAAAGCCTGGGGATGAAAAAAGAGGCATACAGACTGTGGAAGCAGGGGCTAGCCACCAAGGAGGAATATACCTACTTGGTGCGCACTTGCAGGGAATTAGTAAGAAAGGCCAAGGCAGCAATGGAACTCAGGCTGGCAACTAAAAATAAAGACAACAAAAAGTCCTTTTTCAGGTACATAGGGAGCAAAAAGAAGGTGCATGGTAACATAGGACCCCTACAGGACAGACTAGGGCAATTAGTAACAGATAGGAGGGACAAAGCTGAGCTTTTCATTGAGTTCTTTGCATCAGTATTCCTGAACATGGATGTAGACATATCACTAAATGGGACTATAGACAGGCACAAGAGGGACACCAGCCCACCAATGGTTAGTGTCTACACTACAACAGTGATTACTGTTGTAGTGTGTACTTAAAAAAAAAAAGTCACGCAGAATTTAATGAAATGATAATCTTTCCAGAACAGACATATATGCGCTGTGAAATTCCATAGGATTATTTAAAAATCATAGAAAAAATATAATTTAATATTGAATTCTACAGATTTGGGTAATAATATGTGTTGATGTATAAAGAATATTTCATCCCTATTAAATTTTACAGTGCTTTTCCATAAGAAAGGCAAGACCCAGTTTTATTATGTTTGACTTCTGTGGGTTGAGGATATGAGTCTCACATATGAAGGGAGACTTGGAGGGGCCTGATGTGTTCAGGTAAGCAGGCCTAGACAATCTTCATCCAAGGGTGCTGAAAGAATTAGCCAGTGTCATAGCAGAATCACTAGCAAAATTCTTTGAGCCTTCATGGTGCTCAGAAGAGGTCCCAGGACACTCATGGTGCTCAAGTCAGGTCCCTGAGGACTGGAAAAGGGCCAATGTGGTCCCTATTTTCAAGAAGGGGAGGAAGGAGGATCTGGGTAACTACAGGCCGATTAGTCTCACCTCTATCCTTGGGAAAACCTTTGAAAAAATTATTAAGGTGTGGGAGCCCAGCAGGAAAAATAATGCTGAAGGGTAACCAGCCTGGATTCATAGCAGGGAGATCCTGCCTGACAAACCTTGTTTCTTTTTACGACCAGGTCACAAACTGCTTAGATGCAGGAATCGAGGTGGATTTTAAAAAAGCCTTTGATATGGTGTCACGTCCATTCTCAAAAAAAACTTAAGCGGCTGTGACTTAGATGATTACACAGTCAGGTGGGTGGCAAATTGGCTAATGGGACGCACCCAGAGAGTGGTAGTTGATGGATCAGTATCAACCTGGAAAGATGTGGGCAGTGGTGTCCCCCAAGGCTCGGTCCTTGGGCCAGTGCTGTTCCAATATCTTCATCAGTGATTTGGATGAGGGCATGATGAGCACGCTGTCCAAATTCACAGATGTGCCCTCCCTCGGAGTGTGTGTAGTGGCGGGGAGGGCAGAGAACAGATTCAGGTGGATTTGGACAGGCTGGAAAAGTGGGCAGAACACAACAGGATGCAGTTTAACAAAGATAAGTGCAAAGTACTGCACCTAGGGAGAAGGAATCACCAACACATACAGATTGGGGGATGACTTTCTAAGTAGCACAGCAGCAGAAAGGGATCTCACAGTTATAGTTGACTCCAAGATGAGCTTGAGTCGTCGATGTGACAAAGTGATCAGTAGAACTAACCGCACTCTATCATGCATTACTAGATGCATCATGAACAGGTCAAGGAAGTGATACTTCTTCTCTATGCGGCATTGGTAGACCACAGCTCGAGCACTGCGTTCAGTTTTGGGTGCCGCAGTTCAAGAGGGATGTGGATAACCGTGAGAGGGTCCAGAGGAGGGCCACTCATATGGTTAGGGGCCTGCAGAATAGGTCCTATGAAGAGAGGTTGAGGGACCTGGATCTCTTTAGCCTCTGTAAGAGAAGACAGAGGGGATCTGGTGCCTCTCACTTCCAACCTGCAGCCCTCCACCCCCCAAGGTGCCCAACCCATCCCCCAGCTTCCAGAGCTATGGGGCTGTGGGAGGCGGCAGCTGCTGTGGTATGAGCAAAGCATGGAGCCCAGCTCCCCCCCCCTCCCCTGCGGGTGGCATGGCTAGAGTGGAGCTTACTAGGGGGAGGGGTGGCTGCAGGATAAAGGCTTCCTGCCCTGCTGCCCTCCCCCTGTGGGGCCTCCGCAGTCTAACGGGCAGGACCCGGCAGGGTAGAGTGGGGTGGGGCGGGGAGGTTTGGTGCTGCTGCTGGGAGCCCTGCGCCACCATGGCAATGTGCCCTTGGCCCACCTGGCAGCAGTGTGGCGCACAACACTATGCTACCACCCCTGCTGCTGCCAGGTGAGTAGGGGGCACCTCCCCATGGTGGCACAGGGCTTCCAGTGGTGGCACTGAGCATTCCCACCCCACACCGCTCTGCCTGCTGCGCAGGGTCCTGCCTGCTGGGCTGTGGAGGCCCCACAGGCAGCAGCTGGGGCTTGGGTGCTGCTGCGGTGGGGAGGGGGCAGGAGGCTGTGGATCTGGATCCCTGGCCCTCATCTACCCCTGCCCTTCGCACAAATCTGAGGGGCACGTTCCCCTACATGCCCTCCCTGGGAGTGTGTGTAGTGGCGGGGAGCCAGCCCTCCTGCTGCACTCTGGATGAGCTGCCCACGACTCTGTCCCACTGTCCACCCAGGCCCCACTCACCACCCTGGCTGGGCAGCACCCCCTGACCCAGACCCTGCCCAACTCCCTCCTTCACTGTGGGGGCCTCAATTCCAGCCCCATCCCATAACTTTCCTATGGGTAGCTGCTGTGGGATCTGCTCTAGGCTGCCTGGCTGCCACATGCATGTGTGCGGCACACATACACGTGGTGCCCCCTGCCTGATTGCCCTCTTCCCACTCCTCCCAGCTCCTTGCAGCCTGAAACAGTCAGCCTGCAAGGGGAAACTCACCGTTTTCTGCGTTTTTCTCCTTTAAAGGAGAAAATCTACACTTTTCTCCTTAAAAAAGAAAACCCACGTTTTACTGTGTTTTTCTGCGGCAAATGGAAAACCCGGATTCCCGGTAATAATGGTATATTGTATCACAATAAACTGGCCATTACTGACTTTAGGAAGATTTAAACAACTTCATTTCAGGCAGCAACAGGACACCACCAGGTTGGGTGGACATTATTATATGGTGCATCCTTAAATTTCCACCCGGGGGGGTTTATCATCCTGAACTCTAGCAAGCTCAAAATGGTGTCTGCATCAGAAAATTTAATCTCCCAAAGTTCTTATTTTCCTGAAACACTGAATCCCACAACTATGGACCCAGTATGCTGGCCTGACTCCTCTTCCTGTGTTGCTTGATGCTCTGTCTCAGGGCTGTCCAACTTCACTGTGACCATGTGTGGTCCCCAGGCCACATCACATACCTGCTGGGCCATGTGCTGCAGGGACGACCCCTGGGAAACGGCCCTCAACCCTTGCCATCTGCCCCTGCAGTCCCTCCTTCCCCCTTACCATATTGTCTGCACAGGCAGTAGTGTGGCTCCCTTGCCCTTCTCCTGTGTGGGCAGCACTACCAGCTCATGGCCCTCTGCTGAGCCCACCTCGCCGAGAAGCAACCACAGGCTGTTTCTTGCAGGCTGCATGCTGCCCCTGCCTGCGGGCTGCCTGTTGGACAGCCTTGCTCTGTCTCACCAACCCTCTATTGTTGCCATCTGGCTCAAGATTGTGGCACAACTGGGTAAAAGAAAAAAATCATTTGGCGATGTTTGTGTTTTAATGCTGTAGGATAAAATTGCACTGTGGAACTTTTAATTATTTTGATATGAGAGATTAGTAGTCTACGATTTTGGATAGCAACAGCTTTTGTTGTTTCTCCCCGGTTTCCTAACACCTGATAAGCTGCAGCCCTCATGGAGATGGGCATTGCCAGTGTCTGAAACTGTATTAGTTCTCTGAAGAAAGAGGACAAAAGAGGACATGTTTGTTTATCTCATGAGAGAATGCTACCAGAGAAAGCACATTTATGTTACTCATTTAAATCATTTCACTGGTAATCAACAATAACTTGCATCTCATGGAGAAAATATCCCTTTCTGTGATGAATTTCAAGGTTGGCAGATAATAGGCATGTGGGTTCCATGTGTGGTCTCTGTAGAATCTGGGAAATCTAACCATTCAAATCTGGTTGCAGATCTGAGTTGATCAGCACCCTCTCAATAGCAGACCAGACCTGCAGTGGAACAGCTTTAACATTTACATTATCAAAGCCAGCATGGTTATCTGTTGGTTATATCAGCTATAAAAATGATAGCTATCAGGGTTGTGATGGCAATATGCTTCTCCA